GTCTCTGCTAGCCTACCCTATCTTCTTACCAGTAATTTGCATAACAGAACGGTGGCGTAACGTAAATAAATTATATCGATCCGGGCAAAAACCAAAAAAAAATTTCGTTAAAAATTAGGAATTTTAACTACCCGCAATTTCAATCAATGGATTTCGTAGCCGATAGGCCTTGCCGATCCCTTTAAAAAAATCCGGTATGGTGCTAAAGCGCGGCGTCCGCGTCGAGTCGACTACCCTACGCTACTTTTTTCATAGCAAAAAATTTTATGTTCGAAAAATAGCCTTGCAGAACCAAATCCACAATCTCCATCTACACCGAATAGCGCCACGATACGACAAAATTTTCGGCCGAACAGAATCTGCGTCAGAAGATGCGTGATCTCTTGCTCAAAACTGAGCGTGATCAAGCGTGCGTGAGTGCGGGCGTGGCCTATTTTCAAGCCAGAGGCCCCGTCGTACCGGGACCCAATTGTGTGGGCGCGGGTGAAGCGCAGGCGCCGTGAGGGGGCCGACTTGGCGGCGGCGAGTTGCCAGAGTAGCTGTGTTTTTTGTGGAAGTGCCGGAAGCAGCTGTGGCTGCGGTGGCGGGGGATGGTGTTGCTGGGGCTCCTGGAGAAGCCCGACAAACGTGGAGCCTAGCGCGTACGGGTCGAGGATACGAGGTGCCAGTAGGGCCTCGGATTTTGACTTGGGGAGGCCAGGGTGGAGCTGCATGTCGGCGAGGGAGGAGACGGTGGGTAGACCCGCGAAGGAGCCGCCTTGGCCTCTGGAACGAAGGGATTGGAGAGAGAGCGAGAGAGAGAGAGAGAGAGAGATAGAGAGAGAGAGGTAGAGAGAAGGAGAGAGCGGGAGATAGATGCCGACTTCAAAAATGCAGACCTGATATTACAAGCATATTCGTCAAGTTCAAGCCGCTGGTGCTGCACAACAATTTGACAATCCAAATGCTTGTAGTTTGCCACCAAAAACGGCTTGATCCATTTCCGGTCTTTCTCAAGGAATTTTCGAAAGAACTGAAAAAAAGAATATGGGTTTTCCATAAAATAGAAAATTGGTTACCCAATTCTGACCATGGTGCGCTATCAAGTCCTCAATGTAGAACATCAGATGCTTGTTGGTCTCACCGAAGAAGTAGTCGATGACCCGCTTCTTCTCGGATTCTTTTCCAAAGTTCTTGCTGCGCTTGACCTTCAACCACTCGACAAGTTTCTTGATGGTGGAGCCCTAGAAGTCAAAAATAACTTGAAAACGACGCCAAAAAACCCGAAAAATTACGAAATTGTTAAGAAAAATTATTACGAATTGCTTTTTTTAGCTTTGGTTACTGTAGTAAGTAGTGTCTCATACCTGAACAATCGTAGTGAAGAAAATGACGACCAGTGTTGTCGTGACAAACATTTGTTTAGCCGGGAAAAAGTTCTCGTCGATGGCCATGACGAGACCGTAGCAGACGGCTCCTGAAAATTCAGATTTTTCCTTCTCTCTCTTTCTCTCTCTCTTCTTCTTCTCTCTCACTCACGCTCTCTCTCTCTATCTTGCCCTCTCGCTCTCGCACCCGCTCTATCTTTACCTCGAATTCCTCCATAAGCAATCACGAACTGGTCGACGATGCTGATACGCTCCGTCTCCGCGCGGTACCTGTTGGCCATGAAGCTGAGGAAGTAGACGACTAAACAGTTAGATAAATACTCGCTCCTCGAAACTCGAAACATACCTATAAACCGGAAAATTAAACATCCGGTCAGTGTACAGGTGACGAACCAGAAATCGAACTGGTGGTTCGAGGAAACGACGGAGACGCCAAGGAATACGAAAACGAGGGATTCGGAACTAAAGGACCATTGAGTATAGAAATTTTCCCAAAGATTTACTCCTAGCTCGTCTGGTTTAGCACAAAATTAATACAGAAACCAGCTTGTCCGTCTACGCAATGAAAAAATTTACTAAGACGAGCCCATCTTCAGGAGGTATTCCACAGTAAACACCATCGGATCGGAGACGTTGCCCGGCATGTAGTTCTTCATGATGATACCGATTACGACGAGGCTAAAAGCGCGCACTAATGATATCTTCGATTTAATCAAAATGTAGATATGTTATCATCAAGTAAGTACTGACGATAGAATTGCCGATAAATGCATGCTTTCGGTCAACAAATAGCACACGATCGGGCAAGCGATGAGGTTGATGGGCTGGGCGATTTGGAAGGTGACGAGGAATCTGAAAAAACAGCTATAGAATTTGACTATTCTCTCTCTCTCTCTCTCTCTCTCTCTCTCTCTATCTCTCTCTAGCTCTCTCTTTCTCACCTCATAAATAGCACTGTAAGATATCCGCCAACTACTCCGCATCCGATTCCGCCTAATGATACCCGGAAGAAGTGCCCCAAGGCTTGTCCACACTCCGCTGCACCGATCGTGATCTGATTTGCACCGCCGGTCGAACTTGTCACCAACGAGGAGACGGTGTTGAACAGAACCTAAAGACAAACTTGGAATATAGCTTATACAGCTATTATTCAAAAAGTGGTATCATTAGGTAAATTTAGTAGCAGTACCGACAATCTTTGGCCTGTGGCGCGATGATGCCAATACCTACCGTACTCCGCATTTGCTTTCCCTAGTAGTACGTTACAGGGCGCACACTACTTGGCCTGCGCACCGTACGTAGCAAGACGTTAAGTACTCCAGAGACCTACAATGGTGACGGCATCGTTGAGCAGACTTTCTCCGAATACGCAAATGTACAGCAGCTCGTTGACATGAATATCCTAAATCGATCAGGTATTCCAGGTTTACTGAATTCCTCAAATGTATGCGGTTGAAGGACAAGTTATTGTGTATTTTATTATAGACTTACTTACCTCAAATACACACAAAACAGCGACCGGATCTACAGCGCAGATTAGGATTGAGAACAGCGTAATCTCGAGCAACGACAAATTGATGGTGAACCAACCGCGTGCCGCGTAAAGCATGGCGGCTAAAAATAAAGCTCGGACTCTTTCAAAGCGTTCATTTTTGTTAAAACAGCTTTAGCTAATTTCTTGGAGCCTTAAAAAATAGTGTCACCACACTTTTCAGCCGGGATAAAATCAGAAATTTCGAGCCAGAAAATCAAGTTAAGGATTTGGATATCTCAAAAGATATAAAATTCCAGTTTTTTTACTCACCAATCATTGCCGTATTCATAATCGTCCCGATCACAGCAAACAGCGTAATTGTGCCGAGATTGTGGAAAAAGTCCTTGTTCTTCAGGAAATACCCGGCTTCTAACACGATTGGGGGCAGCATGTAGTAGAAGAACCATTGTGGTCGAAGATATAACTAACAGCAATGGATTAATGCATTTTTCTATAGCGTTTAAGGTATGTTTTCAAGACTTACATCCTGTGTGATGACCCGTGTTAAGATGAAGCCGGCGGCTGAGCCGAAGATGAGCAACAGGACCGAGTGGGGCACTCCTCGGGCTTTGATTAGGGCTGAAAAAGTATTTTGTATGTGAGAACAAGGGAGAGCGAGAGAAAGAGAGACAGAGAGAGATAAAGAGAGAAAGTAAAAGAGAGAGAGTGAGAGAGCGAGATATTAAGAATCGTACCTGTCTTCAAAAACCCGATCAACGCGATGATGGCCAAAATCGTGAGTGGCGCTCCCGTCTCGTCAAAGTGGAAAAATTGACCCGTGTGATGAGGATCGTGGATGGGCTCAAAGTCCTCCGGCTGGGCGGCAAGTGTGTCATTTCCGTCGATGATTGAGGCTGGAAAAATCAGATTTTGGTTGGGTTGAACGAGATTCCCTGAGGATCTTTGCTAGCTTGTCTAGCTGGTTTTTTAGACTACGTTACATACCTATTAACGGCAGCGCCGTGGCTATTTCAGAGACTCCGGGGAGGGATCGTGACACCGCGGACGGCATCACTGCATTTGATCACTGAAAAGGAGGCATTTTTTTTAAGTAACCAAGAGAGAGAGGGAGCGAGAGAGAGTGGGAGTGAGCGAGAGAGAGAGAGAGAAAACGAGAGAGATAGACGCTATTCAAGTCGCACAAAAGATGACGCACAATGTACTCCAAGTGAAAAAATCATCATTTTCAGCCTCTTTCATAGAATTTTCAAGTTGAAGATCATCATAAAGACTATAGAATATATTTTAGTTCTTTCCAATAATTTTTAAAAGAATTTTTTCGCATTCCTGTGTCAAAATTTGAATCCAGACTGAAACGCATTCAGGCTGAAATTGCTGCGACGCCCCCCCGTGAACACCCGGTCGCATTAAGATCGGATTAATTAAGCGGGGGCAAAGAGGGACAAAGGGTTATTTTTATCTCATTTTTTAGTCACCCGGCGGGAGCAGTCGCTACTGAACCGCCTACGTAATCTGGGTGCTGAAGTTTTGCCTGGACCCACCCAAGGGGTGGAATTGTTGGAACAAAATGACGAGACCGCTGAGTAAATATGGAGCTTTTGCCGGATTGGGGGAGGAGGTTGACTAGGTGAGCAGTGGAACGAGTATGTGAGCAAAAAAAATAGTTGTACAATATGGATATATTAATATTGCAAAGTTTACAAAAATCATTTAATAATAAGTAATAAAAAACAACAAAATAAGACTATTTTTGAACTCATTAATGCAGCGTCTATTTTGCAAATGCGGCCATTGGAAAGTCGTCTTCACCATTCCTTTAAACAGGCTAAACTTTGACCAGACAGTTCCGAAAAGATCAGACGATTCGGGTCCATTGCCTAGAGGACAGACCCTCGGCCCCGGCTGGTTGATAGCGACAGTTTGCACAAAACATTATCGAGGCGAATTGACAGCGAGGCCGGGGGTCCATGGCAATTGCCTTTTAGCTTTCATCTCGCCGATGTTATGTACTTTTTCTGCGAGATGAACTGTTTACAATTTCAGGTCCAGGATCCGGAACTTCTCATCAATTGAGTAATTCTTTAAAATTCTGGAAACCTGTGCGCATAGTTAAAGAAAAACATCAGAAAAGTTAAAAACGAGAGAAAAGCAGCCGCAGCAAATTGCACGCAGAAAGCGTATTGGACTTTGGTTTGATAGTCAAATCGAAGTATTCGAAGTACAGGAGGCTCCAAATTACGCTTTTCTTTGAAAAAAATACACAAAGTACCACCATTTACTAGATCCCAGGCAAAAATAAGATTTAGAAATAAGTAACTCTCCAAAATTACATGCTAAAAATTGGATTTTAAAATTAAAAATTCAGCTCACAAGGAGACGTTTTTGAGTGTCGTCGGGACTTTGACACGGGACCAAGCCTATCTTGTGCAAAATTTTTCGCTGATTCCGAATATGTTAACCGTTTTTGCGGAATAGCCATTTCTCGAAAGTTATGAACGATTTAAACCTCAAAAAAGCCCAAAATCGGCTACTTTCGACAGTCATACAAGGCTTCTGAATAGGTTTTACAAGGAGATGGTCTCAGCTGGGAATCGAATTCGGATTTGAAAATTTGCACACTTATAGAGCTCGACGAGACAAATCGATTGGTGTAACTTTCAGCTGCTGATACGATAACCACGCCGAGTTATAAGCATTTTAAGTTTTTGCATACATTTTGCATGAGATCGGCCATAGCTTCATAAGCCTTCCCCGCCTCCCCATCCCCATGGTCTGGTGGCCTAGTGGTGTAGAAGGCGTCCTCCGGGGAATCTAACGAGGGTTCGAACTCGCTCACGATTTTTATTTTTTGCTTTTTCGTCCGACGGTTCCTCTTTGCTTTCTGAGGACCTTGCATAGCTTTTTACGCATTATTTTAACTTCTCTGGTGCGAAATTGCTAAAAACATCTCTTCGAAAAAATTTAGATGTTTTACCCGAAAGGACTATGCAGGTCCCAAAATAAATTGAAAATTCAAAGCATATCAAAAATCGTGGAGTAAACGTAAATTTGGTAAATAGTGTGTTATCCGAACAAAAACTTTCATCCGCGAAAATTTCTTGGAAATGGTAGTCATAGGTCGGACAAGGGCTCGATGCCCAGCAAGAAAAATTTTTGCGGTGAAGTTCGATGTTGTCGGCGCATCAAAGGAGTTAAAATAATGCGTAAAAAGCTATTCAAGGTCCTCAGAAAGCAAAGAGGAACCGTCGGACGAAAAAGCAAAAAATAAAAATCGTGAGCGGGTTCGAACCCTCGTTAGATTCCCCGGAGGACGCCTTCTACACCACTAGGCCACCAGACCATGGGGATGGGGAGGCGGGGAAGGCTTATGAAGCTATGGCCGATCTCATGCAAAATGTATGCAAAAACTTAAAATGCTTATAACTCGGCGTGGTTATCGTATCAGCAGCTGAAAGTTACACCAATCGATTTGTCTCGTCGAGCTCTACAAGTGTGCAAATTTTCAAATCCGAATTCGATTCCCAGCTGAGACCATCTCCTTGTTAGACAAAACTTGATAATGCACCTTGTTCAGAAAAAAATTCTCTATAAAATAAACTACCTAACTCAAAAATGCTGGAATTTTGAAAATTTTTGTAAAATTATGGACTCCCACTTTATTAAATTTTTCCAAGTTTTCAATGATTTTGGAAAAGATGGTACATTTTATAGAGAATTTTTTTTCTGAACAAGATGTACTATCTGGTTTTGTCTAAAACCTTTTTTGAAGCCTTTTATCACTATTAAAAGTAGCGGATTTTGGGCTGTTTTGAGGCTTAAATCGTTCATAACTTTCGGGCAATGGCTATTCCGCAAAAACGGTTACCATATTCGGAATCAGCGTAAAATTCTGCACAAGATAGGCTTGGTCCCGTGCCAAAATCCCGACGACACTCAAAAACGTCTCCTTGTCAGCGGTAAGTTTTTCTCACAAAAAAAATATTTACGAGTATACGAGTAAAATAATATACGAGCCCGTCAGACAAAAAATCACCAGGACCCGAAAATCCAAGACGAAGAAAAACAACTGAAAAATTCGGAGTAGTACATGCTACAAATTTCGGGTAATATCATAAAAGCGTGATAATCGCTTAAAATCACAAAATTAAAAACGAAAATCTGCCAACCCCAATCCGGTCCAGAATCTTGGGGCCAGCCCCAAAAACAGCAATCAAATAAAAACAATGGGTGTGCGGGGCAAGGCAAGATATCCAGGTAGAGGTGAGGGGAAGAGGTGTGTATTGAGGGGAAAAGAATAGGGCTGGGAATTTCCCCGTTGCCAGGCTGCCGAAGAGACGGCCAAAAATGGGAGGTGAAGAAGCAAAAAAGGAGCTACCCGTAATTTTTCGAGGGGTGTGTAGACACCCCCGACCGGACAGACCCTGAGATTACACGGGAATCTCTGGGATCGGAGGGGGAGGGACAAAAATCCCCGCAGCGGCTCATTGTTGTTTTTCGTGCCTCTAGGGCAATCAAAGGGGAAAATCGGGAGATTTGGTAGAGGAATTAGCGTTAGAAATTAAATAGGCGGATAAGGAGCCAGAGAATCAGCTAGAGCGAGAGAGAGAGAGCGTGAGAAAGAGCGATAGAGATGGAAAGAGTAAGTACGAGAGATAGAGAGGGCCCGCGAGAGACATAGAGAAAGAAAGAGAGCGGAACAATTCACGATACGGCAAAACCTAGGCTTTGAGAAAAGTATCCAAAGAAACCTAAGCGTTCAAATCTAGAATTAATTCGATTAGAGGAGAACGACAGCAAGCCCGAGAAACTATGTAAAGGTAGAACGTGAAAACATGAGAACGAACGAGAGAAAGAGAAAGAGAGAGTGCGAGTGTGACAGGTGACAGGTCATAAAAATAACAAACTCAATATGAAGCATATGATTAGCAGATAGTCCTTTATCGTTGTTCTCTCTCTCGCTCTCTCTCTCTCTCTCTCTCTCTCTCTCTCTCTCTTTCTCTATCTTCAAAAATCAAAGGCCAATCCCTGGCTTACATAAAACCGCGAGCCCTTTGTTTTCCCTGCGCTGCCCCGAGGCGTCCTCCCACAAGCGCCAACCACTAAAAAAATCGACACAAAATCTGTATCAAAAATTTCCTGGGATTCTGGAATTTTGCACATTTTTCCCGCCGGGCGGCGCTGGGAATTCTCTTCACGCAAACAGGGAGAACATGACGGCAAAGAAGAGAACGCGGGAGGCTGAATAGGTCTTGTAATTTTGAGCTGTGTGGAACCATCAAGAAAGCGGGGGAGAGCATGCTATAATATCCCAAATAG